TCTTTGTTTCTGTGAGAGGTCACTCAGTATTATAGACCCTAGTTCCATCCAGGTTGCTGTGAAATTCATGATTTTGTTCTTTTTTATCTTTGCCCACTTTTTAATGGGCAGTTTGCTTTTTTCCTTTCATTTGGTTTGAGTTCCTTGTAGATACTGAATGTTAGGCCTTTGTCGGAGGCATACTTTGAAAATATTTTTTACCATCCTGTGTGTTGTCTCTTTACTCTCTTGATGGTTTCTTTTGCTATGCAAAAGCTTTTCAGTTTGATGAGGTCCCATTTGTCTATCTTAGCTTTTATGGTTTTTGCTTTTGGGGACTTGGTCAAGAATTCATTGTCTACTCTAATATGCGTAACAGCGTTTCCTACGTTTTCTTCCAGGTTTTTCTTACAGTTTGAGGTTTTATGTTTAGGTCTTTGATTCATTTTGAGTTAATTTTTGTGTATGGTGATAGGTAGGGGTCCAGTTTCATTCTTCCACATGTGGTCAGCCAGTTTTCCCAGCACTATTTGCTAAATGTGATCATTTGTATATCTTCTTTGGAGAAATGTCTATTCAAGTACTTTGTGTATTTTTAAATTGGCCTGTGATTTACTTTGATTTTTGAATCAAGGTAGAATAAAACATGTTTGAAAGCCTTAAGGCAAATGCCATATAATAGATGCCCCATAAATTTTTTTTGATTTCTTGTTGTTGAGTTGTAGGAGGTCTTTATATGCTCTAGGATATTAACCCTTTATCCAGTCAGTGTATGACTTGCAAATATTTTTATCCCATTCTGTAGGAAACCTCTTCCCTCTATTTATTGTGTCCTTTGATGCACAGAAGTTTTAAAGTTTGATGTTTCCTATTTGTCTGTTTTTGTGCTAGCCGAGAAATTGTTGCCAAGTCTAATGACATGAAGCTTTCCCCTATGCTTTCTTCTAGGAGTTTTATATTTATGAGTCTTATGTTTAGATCCTTAATCCATTTTGAGTTAATACTTTTGTGTGGTGTAAGATAAGGGTTCAACTTCATTCTTTTGCATATGGATATCAAGGTTTCCCAACATCATTTGTTGAAGACTGTCTTTTCCTTATTGAGTGGTTTTAGCACCTTGTCAAAGATTTGACCATATATGCAAGGGTTTATTTCTGGACTCTCTCTTCTGTTTCATTCATCTATGTCTGTTTTTATGCCAGTGCCACAATTTTTTTTATTACTGTGGCTTTGTAATGTTTTGAAATTAGGAAGTGTGAGTCCTCCAACTTTATTCTTTTTCAAAATTATTTTGGCTTTTTGGGGTCCTTTGAGATTCCATATGAATTTTAGAATGAATTTTTCTATTTTGCAAGAAATGCCATTGGGATTGCGATAGAAACTGCATTGAATCTGTACATTTAAGAAAATAATATGGGTATCTTAACAGCACATTAAATACTTTTTGTTTGAATGAATGCACATTGAATGTGGTTCTTCTACTGTTTAAATTTGATGTAATTGTAGGTTTATTCTGTTGAACATTCCCAAATGACTGAGCATATTTGGAAGGTATTTCTAGAGCACTATATCCTTTCTTCAAACTGTTTCTAGACTTAGAAATATGAAGACCACTTTCTGACTATAATCTGGGAAGGAGAAATGCTAGTCACTTTCATCTGGAGAGCTCCCAAGTTCAGGATATGAGAAGGGGAATCTGTTTGACTTGTATATATTTATCTTTTGGTAAGTTTTGTTTCATTTTCTTGACTTCTGCTTTGCTTTTCTTTTCCATGCAGAGATGTGATAATGGATCATCATGTTTCCACCATCAAGCCTAGAAGAATCCAGAATCAAAATGTCATTCATCGCTTGGAACGCCGGCGGATCAGTTCAGGCAAGGCAGGTACCCACTGGCACCAGGTCCGAGTATTCCACCAGAATGTCTTCCCCAACTTCACAGTTGTCAACGTTGAAAAGCCTCCTTGCTTCTTGCGTAAATTCTCTCCTGATGGACGCTACTTTATTGCTTTTTCTTCAGACCAGACATCTCTCGAAATCTATGAGTACCAGGGCTGCCAGGCAGCAGAAGACCTATTGCAGGGATATGAGGGAGAGATCCTGTCCAATGGCAATGATCAGCGGTCAGTCAATATCCGGGGCCGGCTTTTTGAACGCTTTTTTGTCCTGCTGCACATTACCAATGTAGCGGCCAACGGTGAGCACCTTAACCGAGAGTGTAGCCTCTTCACTGATGACTGTCGGTGTGTCATTGTGGGCTCAGCTGCCTATCTCCCGGATGAGCCTCACCCTCCTTTTTATGAGGTATATCGGAACAGTGAATCAGTGACCCCCAACCCACGATCCCCTCTAGAGGACTATTCTCTCCATATCATTGACCTTCATACTGGCCGCTTATGTGATACGCGCACATTCAAGTGTGATAAAGTTGTCTTGTCACACAACCAGGGACTGTACTTATACAAAAACATTCTGGCCATCTTGTCAGTGCAACAGCAGACCATCCATGTTTTCCAGGTGACTCCTGAAGGCACTTTCATTGATGTACGGACCATTGGCCGCTTCTGCTATGAGGATGACCTACTTACTGTGTCAGCTGTTTTCCCTGAGGTTCAGCGAGACAGTCAGACAGGCATGGCCAATCCCTTTAGGGATCCTTTCATCAACTCTCTCAAACACAGGCTGCTGGTATACTTGTGGCGCCGGGCAGAACAGGATGGTAGTGCAATGGCCAAGAGGCGCTTCTTCCAGTATTTTGACCAACTGCGGCAGCTGCGCATGTGGAAAATGCAGCTTCTGGACGAAAACCATCTGTTTATCAAGTACACTAGTGAGGACGTAGTGACACTGCGAGTCACAGATCCATCACAGGTATGAGGTGAACTCTCTGTCCTTTATCCCTGCAATCTCCTTGGCCAGATGGGAAGGTTTCTCTGTTTGTCTGTAGCCAGACCTTGAAAAATACACATTTATGAATTGTTTTCCTAGTGCTCAAACTTAAAATCAACTTCATTTTTCTCTGGCCATAAATATTTATCTGGACTAATGGAAGCTAAATCTCAAGGCACTGTAAGGTAGATAGTCAACTCTGTGATTACTATCCTAATTCGTCTGCAAAGCATTTTCGTTACTCATGAGATGGAAGCCCAAATGCTACAAGGTCAAGGTTTGGACTACCTGTGGAAAACCTGCCTTGATTTTCTAAGACTGTACTTACTGGTCTGGCTGCTTTAGTTCTGACAATGAGAATGAGCACACCATACAAAAAAAGAAAATTCTCTCAATATCTAACCTCACTTTCCTGCTTCAATGGCTAATGTCAATTTACTTCTCCACAAAGTCCTATTTATAAGGTAACTAATAGGTAAGTTCATTTGAGAATTGTTTTGCAACTTACCCTGACTTTGCCCACGTGCTGAAACATAGGTTGTAGAGCTGTGAAAAGATCAAAAGGAAGCCAAAATTATTGATCCACCAGGGAAATCATCAGGACTTCAGGTCCTATAGGTCTTTCAGTTTGGGTGAAAGATGTTGGTAGGAGAAAGAGACATTTCTCAAAAGGAATTAAGGTGATGTAAAGAGCACAGAAACTGTAAGATTCTTGGGTTGAAACACTGTGTTGAAATTCAGGGTAATTTGGGCATTGTCTTTAAAAACTCTCCACTTCAGTGTTGATGTTGACCAAGTAGGAGACCTACATCTGTAAATTTGCCCTCCATTTTCCTGTTTCCAGATTGTCTCCTCAGATACTAGTCTGGACATTCAGAACATCAAGCAAACCAGTAAACCATGAAGTCAGCTGAGTCTGGTATCTTTCATTGACCTGCAGCTGATTCTACCCTTAACAGAATCATACAGGGTGTCATACAGGTTGTCATCTCCTAAAACCTCAATAACCACCTGTGGTAAAATATCTTCTAACATTTTCCTTCTGAATCACAGTTTGTGTATTCTTAAAAAAGGGGTGCCGGGTGTGGTGGCTCATGCCTGTAATCCTAGCACTTTGGGAGGCCAAGGCAAGAGGGTTGGTTGAACCCAGGAGTTTGAGACCAATCTGGGCAATGTATTGAGACCTCGTATCTCCAAAAAATAAAAAAAATTAGCCAGGCATGGTGGCACATGACTGTAGTTCCAGCTACTTGGGAGGCTGAGGTGGGAGAATTGCCTGAGCTTAGGAGGTTGAGGCTGTGGTGAGCCATGACAGTGCCACTGCACTCCAACCTGGGTGACAAAGTGAGACTCCAACTAAAACAAACAAACAAAAAACCCCAAATAAGTAAAAATAAATAGAGGGGAGTAATATGGTTAGAGATAATTTTTACTGGATTCTTTCTCTTCCCTATCAATGATTAAGTCACCCATGAGCCATCACGGGTGAGCATCTAGTTCATCATATGCGTCATGGGAGATTGGTGGTAAAGTCCTTGACTGCTCTACCCTCCTGTCCTTTATTTCCCAGTCTGCCCTGAGAGAAGTTTAGTAAATGTTTGTGTAATTCTATATTCATATAATTATGAGAAATCCTGGTGAAGCCCTGATAGGATCAAAGTGTTGTCCAGGTCTATAGAAAGAACATGAGTCAATCTTTTATTTAGGTTTGATCTATAATTACCTTTTTATTTTGGAAGGAATAAGTTGTCTGTTTTTGCCGAATTTGAGATTATCCCTTTTTTCTTTGCTAAAAGGTGACCTATTTTTTTCTGGTAGCTACAATAAATTGCAACTAGCGACATTACTAGGACTCTGCCCTTTGTTTACAGAGTTTGTAACTCTAAACTCTAAATCTCTCTGCCCTAGTTGTCCTCCTCACTCCCCCCACCAAGCTTAATTTGATAGGTTCCAATAAAGTTAATGAGTAAAAAGTGCATCCAAACACAGAGCCTTGGTAATATTATGGGTAATATTCTCAAGTTACCCTCTAGCCTCTTCAATTTACAGCCAAATTTAATTTGCAGGTGACCGCAAAAGCCTTGTAACATAAGCTCTGGGAAGGACTAATTACTAGTAAAACAGGTGGGCCAAATGGCTCCAGAAATTGGTAATGGAGATTTAAACTCAGTCAAGGAGGCTGGAATATTAATCCTAGCATTCTGAAAACTTCTAGAGTCCTATTGGAAGCTTGCAGTTAATTCATACTGCTACATTCACTGTGACAAAAATTAGGGGTTCCTGGAGCTTCCTTGTTAGGCAGAGCAGAGCACTGGAGGTTTAAAGGAAGAGGGTTAGTCACCTAGGGGCCCATTCAGAAAAGCAAAGCAGGAACTCTGCCACCTATGGCATTTGAATACTTTTCAGTTTCCCCCTCTGATCTTAATTGCTACAAATCACAAACGCATTTTACAAATGCTCTTGGCTCAAAGAATATTTATGAAGAAAGAAATGGAAAATGTCTCTCTGATTTCCCATTTGTTCAGCAGCAGTACCCTGCTTGGATACAACTTGCCTGGGCAGTTTTGGAACACAATGTACTTAAGGTGTCTCTCTGCATGTTAGAAATATTAAGGGAGAAAAATAAATGCCCCTGAATTGAACTTTCAACTGTACACATACAAGAGAAAATAATTTGCCAACAGGCAGCCCCAGGCTGCAAATCACTTTCTCAGCAGGAAAGAAAATTAAATCTGGCATTTTTAAAAAGTGTTTTTTTTGAATCTCAGATTGGATTGGGGAGCAAGTAGGAAATAATCACTTGGAAGGAAAAATATTGAATTTGCACAGTTTGAAATGAAAATTAAAAAACCTTTTTGTACATATGTGCCGGCCAACTCAGTAATTCTAGCAGCACAGATACAGTGGGAAATCTGGCAACACTGAAGCTCTCAATTGTTGAATCCCACTGATGCTTCCTCCTTTCCCAGAACCACTTGGAGCCATGATTCCACCTTAGTGGTAAAGCTGAGGTGTTTTCTGTTTTAATTTGGGTGCCTTGACTTTTCAGCCAAGTGACAAGTATCCTAGGCATGGTGTTATACTCAGCTGCCCATAGCTTTCTCTCTTCTTCTGCAGGCATCTTTCTTTGTAGTGTACAATATGGTGACAACAGAGGTGATTGCTGTGTTTGAGAATACGTCAGATGAGCTTTTGGAGCTCTTTGAGAACTTCTGTGACCTTTTTCGTAATGCTACCCTGCACAGTGAAGTCCAGTTTCCCTGCTCAGCTTCTAGCAACAATTTTGCAAGGCAGATCCAACGCCGGTAAGCTCTTTCACCAGGCTCAACAGGCTTAATTTTTCTTTAGAAAAATTGGTCTTAGGACAATAACTATTTCCTTCAGGAAACCTCTTATTCTATCCATCTGGCCTTGGTTAGTCTTCCTGTTGTAACCCCTTGTGTTATCCTGAACTGCTTGTTTCTGTCTCAGCACCTGTGGAATTATTTGTACATTGTGTGTGATCCTTTTTAAACTATGTATGAGCGGCAGAAAGATGAGACTGTATCTTTATATATTACTATGTCCTCAGTGGCACACTGGCAAGCATTTAAAAATTTGTTAAATGAATGAGTAAGGAAATAATTTTAGAACTTCTGGCTTATTATCATGGTGCGTTGAACACATGCATTTATCTCTGTTCCATCGCCAAACGCCACTAAAATGACATTAAAGAAATACAAGGTATAAACTTATAAGAACAAAGAGACTAGGAGAGGAGATGATTTGAGACAGGATTTATCTACAATGTTTTAGAATCTGAAAAACCAGTGAATGAGTGATAATTGACTTAGCATACATCAGAGAGCAAAAACTTAAGGCTGCATAGCTTAGTCATCAAAAACAAGCCTGCCTTATGCCAGAGAACTCTGGAAAGGGTCCGGAAGTTGGAGGCCCTGGGTACCTCTGACATTTTTATGCAGATGGGACTGATCCTGTAGAGAAGGGGGAAACAGATTAGGAAGGTGAGGGACAAACTGCTTAAGTGTACAAAGGAAGATGGGATCTAGTACATAAATGATTGGCCTTATATGGGAGTGTGGACAGTTATATAGGTACAGATGTTGGGCCAATGTGCTGATGGGGGCCTTAACAACTTCTCTTCTAGTTTCTATTTCTCAGTAACACAGTAAGCAGTGCCATTAGCTGAGAGTAAGTTTGGGGGAGGGGGGAGTGAAATAGTCATGGAAGAGAGTGGTAGTCTGACAGGACTGTGGAAATGTAGCATGAATGCCCTGCAACATTAAGGGTCCACTTGAAGTTCATGGTCATAAATTTAAAGTGAGCATTGCTGTATGTTTTTCTGCAGGCATGGAGAAAACTGAGTGGATATAGGCATGGAATAGGCAGAATTGAGCTTAACTAGAGCTGTGGTTTTTCTAAGCAAGTACCACAAAACAAGAGAATTAAGATAGTTGAGAATGAGTGCAATGGAGCATTTTCATGATTGGTTGGGGAACATAGGTGCCTAAGGAAGGAAGGATATGGCAAGTGTACAGAGTGACAAAAAGTTGGTAGGATGAGTGGACCGTAGGTCCCATGTGGGTTGAAGGATTGTTGAAGTTGGGGTGAGTAGAGGCAGTAAACAGGAAAGATGGGAGAGGAGATGGTTGGAGAATGTGATGGTCCACTCTGATCTTATAGAGGGGTTGCAGTTGTTAGTAATGGTGAGGTTGAGGATGTGACTGTGGACTAAGCAGCTGAGGTTGAGAGGCAGTCAAGGAAGTAGGGGGCCATGGTGTTAGAGAATTTTGAAACTGAGAATGTTGAAATTGCTGAGAATTAAGAGAAGTAGAGTTGGACAGAGTGACACTGGGCTAGGAGCTGAAGTGGTGAAGATATCAGATATCTTTTAATCAGTGGGGAGCACAGAGAGGTAGAGGTAAAGGGTACTGCAATGGAAGAGGAACTGCTTCAGCATTTATATTGTCAAAATGCTTTGATTTGAGATAATCACAAAGCTATGAGCCAGTCCCCATCATTTTACCTTTGAAAGCCAGGGAGCTAAGCAGGGTTAGGTTTTGGATTATGAGATGGTGCTGGATCTTTGCGGAAAACCAAAGTGCCCAGGATATTTTATTTCAGCTCAAATGAAAGAGAAGAAATAAATTCTGTTTGGCCCAAGGTTTAATTTTATGGTTTATACCAAGCCTGTGAAAATCACTGTCAGGAAGAATAATGGAAAAGCAGTGTTGATAGCTAGGCTTCCTTCTGATGGAGCCAAGAAGTGTTCATGTCCATCTGGCACCACAGGTTAACTGAAATTAAAATCAACACCAACTAATCAATCTTTCTGGTCTTGTGAAAGTTGGGAACATTCAAGTTTTTTATTCCGTTTTATTAGTTTCTTAGATACTATATTTTCCCCAGACTAAAATTGTATTTATTTCCCATTGATTGTTAAACCATATGGTATGCTTTGATACAGAGATTTTTAAAATATATGTCATAGTTGACATTCTAAGAAACCGTAGGAAAAAAAATTTAAGATGTCATTATACAAACAACTGTTAACATTTTATTGTATTTCTGCCAGCCTTTGTTTTAAGCATAAGTTTTTGGTTTTTGTGTTTTTATCCTTACTGTATAGGTAGGACTGTAGCCTACTTCTTTTACTTACTATTATGATAACTGTTTCCTATTACCATATATTCTTTGAAAATTACAGTTTTCCACTAGGCGTTTAATTTTTCCTTCAATGTTTCATTGTCATAAATGATGATGTATTCACTGCATTTGTATTTTTTTCTTTTGCATGTAGGAGTGATTCCTTAGGGTAAATTTTCAGAAAAGTAAGAATATTTGTCAAAGAGTATTACTTTTAGTATATGTTACAGTTATGAGAAAAACCGCTCTATTATTTTGAAAGATAAGTTATACATAAGACTCTGTGTTGGTGTTACTACTCTTCTGAATACTGTTATTTCTGCAGGAGTATAGGTAGCTAGTTTTCCAAGCCTTGTTTAAACAAAGAATGAGTAATTTGTCAAAAGACTTGGTGGAAGTTGACTTATAACTGATCCCAAGAAGAATCAGAGAGAGGCTGCTTCTGTTCAGAGTTCTCTGTTCTCTGAAACTCCTTCTTAATGTAGTCTAAGGCAATTATTTGGGGAAAGCAAGTTCTTGAACTTTCTTCAAGTTTTTCACCTAGTTGAGCTGCTATGGAAGAGTAGAGATAGTTGCCATAAACTAGTTAGTTACACTCATTTTAAATTTGTGGAGTCTTTGTTAACCAACTTACCTTCCCTCCCTCCCTTCCTCCCCCCATTCCTCCCCCCCTTCCTCCCTTGTCATGGCCCTTCCTTGCCGTGGTCTCACTGTCTCTCAGACTGGAATGTAGTGGCATGATCACTGCTCACTGCAGCCTCCAACTTCCGGGCTCAAGTGATCCTCCTTCATCAGCTGAGACTATAGGTGTGTGCTACCACACTTGGCTAATATTTTGATAGTTTGTAGAGATGAGATTTCACTATCTTGCATAGGCTGGCCTTGAACTCCTGAGCTCAAGCAATCCTCTTGCCTCAGCCTTGCAAAGTGCTGGGATTACAGATGTGAGCCACTGCAACCAGCCCTTTGTTAACTTTTCTAAAGTAATTTGTTTTCCATTTCTAATTATGTATTTTGCTTTTTAAGTGTATTTGTAGCCAACCAGACTTGCAATATGATAGAAAGCTCTGTCTTTATTCAATATCTAGGTTTTAATTTTTATTTAGTGAATGAGTTGCTTTTAGATGTGTGTTTGTTTTTTCTTTCTTTTATTTTAAAGATACAGGGTACAATTCAGGATTGGGTACATAAGTGGTCTAGGTACAGATGAAGTTTGGGCCTCCCATTGTTCCTCATTTTCCTGGATTAGGATCAGGCACCTTATTGAATTTATGTGCCCCCCCCCCGACTCCTGGCAGTGTCCCGCTATTGCCAATCCCTTTCTTGTATTATGATAGGTGTTCAGGGTCCACTTATGAGTGGGAACATGTGATACTTGGTTCTTTGTTTCAGTGATAGATCACTGACTATGATAAACTCCAAATCCATCCAGGTTCCTGTGAAGTGCATAGTTTTGTCCTTTATGACTGCATAATATTCCATCGTGTATATGTACCACATTTTAAAAAATCCAGTCCAATTTCAATGGGCAGCACGGTTGGTTCCATGTTTTTGCTATTGTGAATAGTGTTGCAATAAACATGCGTACTTTTTTGTAGAATGATTTTAGTTCCTCTGGGAATATTCCCAGAAGGGGAATTGCTGGGTCATATGGAAGGTCAATGCCTAGTTCTTTTAGGAATTGCCACACTGTTTTCCATAGAGGTTGAACTAGTCTGCACTCCCACCAACAGCGTAGAAGCACTCCCTTTTTCTTCGCATCCTCACCAGCATCTGCTGTTTTTCATTTTATTAATGATGGGCATTCTAACTGGAGTTAGGTGGTATCTCAGTGTGGTTTTGATTTGCATCTCTCCGATGATTAGTGAGGCTAGCATTTTTTCATACGTCTGTGGGGCTGCTCATATGTCTTCTTTTGAGAAGTGCCTATTCGTGTCTTTTGCTCACTTTTTTTTTTGAGTTGGAGTCTCACTCTTTGTTGCCCAGGCTGGAGTGCAGTGGCACGCTCATGGCCACCGCAGCCTTGACCTGCTGAGCTTAGATGTACCTTCCACCTCAGCTTTCCAAGTAGCTGAAACTACAGACACATGCCACCATGCCCAGCTAGTTTTTTGTGATTTATTATAGAGATGAGGTCTCATCAAGTTGCCCAGGCTGATCTCTAACCCCTGGGCTCAGGCAGTCCTCTTGCCTCAGCCTCCCAAAGTGCTGGGATTACAGGCTAAGCCACTGTGCCCGGCCTTGCCCACTTTTTAATGGGGCTGTTTGTTTTTTCTTTCGGCACGTTTGAGTTGCTTGTAGATACTGGATATCAGGCCTTTGTCAGATATATGGTTGGCAAATATTTTTTTCCTATTTTGTGGGCTGTTTCCCCACTCTCTTGATGGTTTCTTTTGCTTTGCGGAGGCTTTTCAGTTTGATGAGATCCCACTTGTCTATCTTATCTCTTATGGCATAGGCATTTGGGCTTTTGATCAGGAATTGGTTGCCTATTCCAATTTTCATAAGGGTGTCGCCTGCATTTTCTAAGGTTCTTATAGTTTGAGGTTTTACGTTTAGGTCTTTGATCCATTTAGAGTTGATTTTTTTGTGTGTTGATAGGTAGGGGTCCTGTTTCAATTCTTCTGCATGTGGTCTGCCAGTTTTCCCAGCACCATTTACTGAATAGGTTCTCCTCTCAGTGGTTGTTGGTGGAGGCTTTGTCAAAGATGAGTTGGTTGAAACATTGAGGTTTTGCTTCTAGAATCTCTATCCTGTTCCATTGGTCTATATGTCTGTTCTTGTACCAGTACCAGGCTGTTTTCATTATTGTAACCTTAAAATAATAAAGTTTAAAGTCTGGGAGTGTGATTCCTCCCACTTTGTTTCTTTTGCTGAAGATTGTTTTTGTTATTTTGCTATTTGTGGTAGAATATGAATTTCTGTATTGTTTCCATATGAATTTCTGTATTGTCATTTCTAGGTCTGAGAAGAATGATGGTGGTAATTTAATGAGTATTGCATTGAATCTGTAGATTGCCTTGGGTAGGTTGGACATCCTAACAATGTTAATTCTTCCAATCCATGAGTGTGGGATATTTTTCCATTTATTTGAAGTTCTAGCTAGAGCAATCAAACAAGAGAAGGATATCAGGGGTGCCCGACTAGGAAAAGAGGAAGTTAAGCTATCCTTCTTTGTGGATGATATGTTCCTATACCTGGAAAACTTAAGGGAATCTGTCAAAACACCTCCTTGCACTGATAAAGGACTTTGGTAAAGTCTCAGAGTATAAATTAACGTGCAAAAGACAGTCACATTTTTATACACCAACAACAAACAGGCAGAGAACCAAATAAAAAGTACAGTTCTATCACAATAGCCACAAAAAAAAAAAAAAAGAAAAAGAAACACCTTGGCATCTTCCTCACCAGAGAAGTGAAAGACCTTTACAGCGAAAACTACAAAACACTGCTCAAAGAAATCAAAGAATGACACATGTGTTTGTTTATTTAAAATCTGAGACAGCTTTGTGTACCTACTAACAAAACCTTCCTCACTGGTCCTTTCTTTTAGGTTCAAAGACACTATCATAAATGCCAAGTATGGAGGGCACACAGAGGCAGTACGCCGCCTGCTGGGTCAGCTCCCCATTAGTGCTCAGTCTTACAGTGGTAGTCCCTACCTGGATTTGTCTCTCTTCAGCTACGATGACAAGTGGGTATCTGTCATGGAGCGGCCCAAGACTTGTGGAGATCACCCTATCAGGTATAATGTCACTGCTACAACTTAAACTACTCAAGGGCTGATGACAGCCTCTTTCTTTTTTCTTAATGTACCTCATTTCAGTGACTTTTTCTATTTGTATTCATGGGTTAGACTGAAAGGGAAGGCTACTTCTATAACATGGTGAGTGCTTTGACCATTTAGGTGCTAGTTTCATAAATTAATGTTCCTACTCTTTGCTTCTCATGATCAGAACATCTAATTCAGATAAGTGTTGGCCCCTTTTAAAGGCATCCAGGGAAGGAAGCTGTACTTTTCCATTTAATAATATAATACTGGCCGGGCTCAGTGGCTCAACCTATAATCTCAGCACTTTGGGAGGCTGAGACAAGTGGATTGCCTAAGCCCGTGGGTTCGAGACCAGCCCGAGCAACTTGTTGAAACCGTGTTTCTACAATAAATCAAAAATTGCCTGGAGTGGTAGCACATGCCTGTAGTTCCGGCTACTTAGAAGGCTGAGGCAGAAGGATTGCCAGAGCCCAGCAGGTTGACGCTGGAATGGCAGTGAGCATACCACTGCGCTCCAGCCTGGGCAATGGAGTAAGACTCCAACTCAAAAAACAAAACAAACAATAATAATAATAATAATATAATACCATTCCATGATCATTTTTTAGTTGAGACTATTATTACATATATCTAACACAAATTATTATATCCTCTCATCTAATAGAAAAGATAGCAGAACCAATTTGGGGAACAGATAGGTTTAGGAGAAACGCATTCTTCCTTACTTGGAAGAATTTTGAAATGTAGACTACTATGTTATTACTGGAACTTTGAAACCAACCTCTTTTGAGCTAACCTCTCTTACAGAAGTTCAGTTCACAGACCATCTGTGTTTCCGTATCTGGAGCCTATGCTGTTCTGTGTGCTGTATAGTATTGGGGAGAGGCACTGGCATTGCTGTCTCTGGTGGGGTTGCCTCAAAGTTGGTGTGTTCCTGGAGCTCTAAGCTGGTGCTTGGAAGGTCTTTTTCACATAGAAACAATGGTAGCTAGATCTTTATCAGAGATGTATTTCATCATCCAACTTCACTGTGTTTTAAATGAGCCTGTGTAATATCCTTTGTATAATCAGCATTCATAATATTTCCTTTGGAAAATTGCAATCAAGTTCCAAAACCAATTAATTTTTTTTTACTATGCAAAGTTCTAAACATGTACAAGAAATAGAAGAGTATAATGAACCTCTGTGTACCTATCACCCACTTCAGCAGTTAATCAACTCATAGTCAGTCTTGTTTCATCTATTTCCATCACCCTCACTAACCCTACTTCTTCCCATGGCTGTCCTGGGGTTTTTTAATTAAAAAAAATTTTTTTATTTAATTAATTAATTTATTTATTTGAGTTGGAGTCTCACTCTGTGGATCAGGCTGGAGGGTAGTGGCATGCTCCTGGCCACTGCAGCCTTGACCTGCTGGGCTCAGGTGATCCTTCCGCCTCAGCCTTCCAAGTAGCTGGAACCATAGGTGTGCGCCACCACGCCCAACTGATTTTTTTGATTTACTGTAGAGACGAGGACTCACCATGTTGCTCAGGCTGGTTTCGAACCCCTGAGCTCAGGCAGTCCTCTCACCTCGGCCTCCCGAAGTGCTGGGATTATAGGCGTAAGCCACTGCGCCTGGCCTTATTTTTAATTTTTGATTTTTACTTTTTAATTTTCAATTACTTTGGAGTTGGGGTCTCACCCTTTTATCCAGGCTAGAGTGCAGTGGCATGATCATGACTCACCAGTCTCGACTTCCTGGTCTCAAGCAATCCGTCTGCCTCAGTCTTCAAGTAGCTGGGACTACAGGCATATACCACCACGCTAATTTTTTATTTTTTGTAGAGATGAGGTCTTGCTATGTTGTCTAGGCTGGTTTTGAACTCCTGAGCTCAAGCTATCCTCCCTCCTTGGCCTTCCAAAGTGCTGGGATTACAGGCATGAGCCACTGCACCTGATGCTTGTCCCGGATCATTTTAAAGGCAATTCCACCTATCCTAGCATTTTTACCAGTAAATATTTCAGTATGAATTTTTAAAAGACAAGAGTACACACATATACAAACCTCTCAATACCATTATCACATCTTTAAAAAATTAACAAAAAATTTTAATACCACCACATATCTAATATAGTCAGTTTTTACATTTCCCCATTGTCTTATAAATATTCTTTTTATGTTTATTTGACTGAATCATATCTAAACAAGGTTCATACATTACATTTGGTCACTGTTGTCATAACTTTTTTTTTATTTTTTAGGTTATACTTTCTTTCCTCTTTTATTTTTCTTGCAATGAAATTGTTGGAGAAAACATGTTGTTTGTCCATTAATGTTTTCCACATTTTAGAGTGTCCTCATTGCATCCCTGGGGTAGTATTTGCAATATTTCTCATTCCCCTATATTTCCTGTAAATGGGAGTTAGATTTAGAAGCTTGAAGAACTCACGTTAAATTACGAGCCCTTTGTGTGTTGGGAACGGTAGGGGTAAAATGTGTTTTTTACACATAAAAGCATATGATGGTTAGAACATGTTGAAAAAGACAAGTAACAAAAAAGAAGAAAAGAAAAAAAGCAGATGATGGGCTTCATCTGATATCAATCAAATATCATGATGCATTTCTCTCCTTTCTGACTTTCCCATGTTTCTAATTTGAAAAGATGAATCTAAGACAAATCTGGAAATGCCCCTGAATAAAGGGGTTTTGCTTGTAATCCTAATTTGTGTTTCTTAATTTAAGATGGGAAATGTAAGGATATTAAAGGCACTTGAAGAGAGAACGGCATTACTCTAGCAATTTTATTATATTCTGGTTGTCTTTATCAGTATGCATATTTACATGTATATAGTTGTAATTATGGTTAGCATCATATTTTACAGCCTTTTTTAAAAAAATAAACTTTAAAAAATCTACATAGTCTTCACAATTACAGTCCTAATGGTGGCATAGTAGTCCATCAAAGTAGAAGTACTGTAATTTTTTTTGATGTACCATAATTTTTTAACCATTTCCCATCACTGAGCATTTATTTATTCTCTGCATTTTTACATTAGAGTGAATGCCATAATAGCCATCTTTATTCATGTCACTATTTACTTCATTAAAATTGAATTCCGAGGAAATATATGTTGGGGAATGGAATTATTGAGTCAAAGGGTCTTTAGGGCTGCTTATATATTTGCTTTCCAAAAGGCAGATAATAGCACTCTTTAATTCAAGACTTTTTATTTTCTAGAATTCCCCCCTCCCCCAATTCAACCCTCACCCACAAATCATCTGTAGTTTTCCATACACAGGACATTTAATTTGTGTATGCAAAATGTATTTAAGTCCTGTGATGAATGGAAGCATCTTTGGTCTCACTGTCTAAATGAAAAAATTAAAAACTAAAAAATTAAAAAGTATTTTATTTCTGTGAGTGAAAGAGAATAACTTTCCAAAGGAATCTACTCTTAAAAATAAAAAATGAAAAGATAGGCCTACATCCACACTGTCCTTTATGGTAGCCACTGCTGAGCACTTAAAATGTGACTAATCCAAGTTGAGATATACTCAAGTATCAAATATACACCAGATCTCAAAGATTTAGTACAAGAAGAAGTGAACTGTCTCACTAATATTTTTATATTGATTATAGGTTGAAGATAATTTTGTTATATGGGAGTTAGTAAGATATATTATTAAAATTAATTTCACCTTTTTCTTTTTAATTTTTTTTAGTATGGCTACCTGAAAATTTAAAGTTCCACACGTGGCTTGCATTTCATTTCTAGCCCTGGCCTAGACAATCTTGAGGCAGTAGCCTCTGAAAGTGGGGAGGCTGTAATTAGAGCTATAACTAAGAGTCATCTTGGGAAAGAGAAATTACCAATGATCAGTACAACACAGTAAAATTCATAATCACTCTTCCCCTAAAATGAGCTGATCAGGCCAAGGTAATTGTATAGTTCTGATAACCTGGGGCAGATGAAAGAGGGGGATAAGGTAAAAAATTGAGTTGCCACATTCTCCTGCTGTCCAGATTTCCATCTGGTGGTGAATATCAACTCTTGTCCTCTCTCTCTCCCCCTTCTTCCTGTTTAGGTTCTATGCCCGGGACTCTGGCCTCCTCAAGTTTGAGATCCAGGCAGGCTTGCTGGGCCGCCCCATCAACCACACAGTGCGACGCCTTGTTGCCTTTACCTTTCATCCTTTTGAGCCTTTTGCTATTTCCGTGCAGAGGACTAATGCTGAGTATGTTGTCAACTTCCATATGCGACACTGCTGCACATAGGTGCCTCACCAAAGCCAGCCTATATGGTCTTCCAAGTCTTTGCCACCTCTTATCTCAGTAGATTCTGAGACGAAAGCTCCTGACTACCGGCTTTGTTGGTTCCAGCCTGGTGTACCTCAAGTGGGAGAGAGCCAGAGAGGAGCGAGGTTGTTCAACTAATGTAATTTTTATGGAATACAATATTACTACTGATTGATTGAAAGTCCTCTTCCCTTGTCCCTATGGGAATGCCCAGCATTAATTAAGTCCATTTCATTTTTGCTTTTCTTTGCGTTTTATTGCTATGAAGATGAAAGCATTACACCTTTATCCCCTTCATATCACTTCTTTGGCATTATGTTTGCAGCCGGAAGCAGGTGAATCTTGTCTACTCATGAGAACTATGTATATTCTTTCCACTTAGTCAACAAGCAGGGCTATCTTTATAAGAAAGAAAAATAAAGCCTTGGTATTTTCTTACTTAAATGTATCCTGTTTGATGACTGCCTTATGTTTCAATCACACCCAATGTTTTTCAAGTACTTGGTTTCCAGGAAGGACTATGAAAGAGACACGAGGCCATGGATGCAGCAGCTGCTCCTGGGAGAACTAAGCGGTGAGTGCCAGCAGGAGAGACAGTCATCTGCCAGGATTGTTTCCTTCCCTAGGGTTTTCTCTTGGTAATTGTCACAGCTGGAGGAACTGGGTGTAATTGCACATCTTCGTGTGGAAGCATGCTCCCATCTGTACCATCTGTGTCATGCAGGTGGGAGAGTGAGCAGCTCTTGTTGGCCATAGCAGAAACAAACACTGTGTAGCACGTACTGTAATTTGGATAGTGGGAGCTGGCAAGCTGCAGGTGTCCCTGTAGAGACCAGACTGGCTGTTTCTGGACGACCGAGCCATCACAGCCATCTCACAAACACCTGCCGGCCCAGCCACGTCCTTCTGTCACATTCTCAACTCTTGCCAGACTGTTTATGTTCCCTTTGCATAATGTATCCCAGTAAGGTAGTAGGTTTATTTGGTAACATCTGACTTTGAAGGTAGCTTTGAAATGTTGGGTTCCAGATCAGGCTGTGAAAGGTGCCATGGATACAAACAGCTGAATCCTGTCTTCCTTTCACCATCCAGACTGACTTCCTTTGGTAACATTAGAAATGCGTTAAGAATTGCTGAGTCCCACCAGAAACAGTTCTGCTAATTTCAGCATATTCAAAATGGAACAGCTCAATTCAGTCTCATTCAGCATGCAACACAGCACTTGAGCACCTACTATGAGTCAGGTAGGTGCTATGCCAAGATGCTAAGGATGAGGGGAGAGATAGACAAAGAGATTATGATGACGACATGGTAAAAGTTCTAATTGTGTCTCTCTGGGGACAGTGGAGGGAAAGGCAGAGGAAAGGTATACTGGGGAAGGAACACTGAAAGTGGATAAATGGGAGTATGATGTGTGACCCAGGGTTGAGGACACTTCAAGGAGAGACCCAGCATGTGCAAGGGCACAGAAGCATGAGAAGGGCTGTCGAAATTGTGGATTGGTAGATATGTGAATATAGCTCTAGTGTAAACTGGGATGGGGGAGGCAGGAGAAATGTTACTGAATGGGTAGACTGAGGATATTGTGAAGAGAGATTTGTGCATGGTGCTGGGGTGTAGGTAGTGGGAGGCATAAAGTGAATTTCACAAAAATAACTTTCAGCCATCTGAAAGATGGCTCCGAAGGAGTAGAGATGAGAAGTCAGGTGAGCTAATGGTGGTCATCCAAAGGAGAATGGGAGGGGATGAGCTGTCACTGGGCCTCTGGAAGGATGAAGTACTTTGTAGATCGTGATAAATATGGAATCCCCAAACTTGATGATTCTAATCATGCATTCATAATACAGATGCTTTTCAATTTATGATGGGGTTGCATCTGGACAAACCCATCATAAGCTGAGAGTATGTGATGATGGGTTTATCTGGATTTCACCCTATCATAATGAACATACTGAATGCATATGGCTTTTGTATATCCTAAATTTGAAAGATCTTAAGTTAAGCCATTGTTAAGACATCCCCATTGGGGTTATCTATAATTGTGTTCTTGTACTATCCGTTACCCTAGAAGTCTTGTCACACATTTGTGGGGCTGAACTAACTTTTCTTTGTAGAAACATTTTACTTGCAATTTTTTTGTTTTTTGTTTTTAAACTACGTTGCTTGATTGTATTGGGGACTTGGCAAAGTGGCAAAAGCATAGTTTGAAATCACTCATGCCTCAGTGAATCCTAGTCCTTCCATTCATTTGCTGTGTAATCCTGGGCTGATCACCTAGCTTTTCTGAGACTTGACTTACACTTTCTGCCATCCCCTGTGGTATCCTGGATTGAGCTGGGGAGAGGGTGATAGAGTGTAGGGGAGGCTCTGCCTGGTTGTAAGGCCCCTGCCCACTAGTAGCCCACATCACTTCCACTTGCATTCCGTATAGAGGTCCTCACCATATAGCTCACGTAACAAGCAAGGAAGCCTGGGAGATGTAGTATGCCTGGCCAGCCATATACCAGGTACTCTTGTATTCAAAGAAGGGGGAATGGGTTTTGGTGAGCAGCTAGCCATTACTGGAACATTAGCATCTTCACTAGCTGTCACCTCCCCTTAGGTCTCTCCTATTTTTTTATTTAGCTGAGGTTGTGAGGTCCCAGCACTATAATCACTCCCTTGCAGTTACCCTTTACTTACTTGCTGCTCTGCTTCTGTGCTAATTTAGAAAAACCTCAATTATGTACATGTTGGTGTCAGAACAGCTGAAAATAACTACAGAAAAACCATGTCTGTTCTTAAGTTCCTGATGACAAACCTGAACTGGGCACTCATGATTGCTGAGCAGTCCTCATATCCTGCTCCTTGAAATTGCTGTTTTACACCTTCGCCTCTCTCTTCAAAACCCCTCCTCCAGTTTCTCAGCCAGTCACCTTGCCACCTCCCTCATGGCAGAAATAGAAACCCTCAGGTAATCCTGCGCCTTTGGGAGGCTGAAGTGAGTGGATTGCCTGAGCCTGCGGGTTTGAGACCCGCCTGGATAGCGAGACCTCATCTCTACAATAAATCAAAAAATCAGCCGGGGGTGGTAGCGCGCACCTGTAATTCTGGCTACTCGGAAGGCTGAGGCGGAAGGATCGTCGGAGCCCAGCAGGTCGAGGCTACGGTGGCCGGGAGCGGCCACTGCACTCCAGTCTGGGCGACAGAGTGAGACTCCAACTCAAAAAAAAAAAAAAAGAAAAAAGAAAAATTAGAAACCCTCAGGTGGAAATTCCCTTGTCTTTGCTGGACTATGGCAGCCATATGACTTGGATCTGTACTCATTCCCTGTCTTCCCTCCTGTCGCAATGAATGAAATATCTTTGCTTCTCTAAAAGGCCTTTACTGCTACCTGTCCACTAAATCTCATTTCCTTTTGAATTCTCAAAACACCTTTGTCTACAGTTGTTTTCTCTCTCCTGTATCATTTTTCTCTTGATAGGTCATTCCTGTTAACACTATAAATAGATATCCTGGAGGACCTTCTATCTTATTCCCTCTTAGTTACTGCCTGCTTCTCTGTTACTCTTTATCGCAAAACTTCTCAGAAGAATTATCTTAATTAAATGGTTTCATTTCCCTACAGCCCATTTTTTTCTCAACCCAGTCCAGAGAAATTTCTGTCCCCACCTTTCCTCTGAAACCACAGTTGTCTGGGTCACCAGTGATTTCATGTTACCAACATAGTGGTCACCTCTTATCCCTCTCTTGTTCAACCTCCCAATGTTGGACATAGTCCTCTGTATCAAGAAACACTTGGTTCTCTTGCTTTCTAGGACAGTGTGTGCTGGCTTTCTTCCTGACTTACTAGTTGCTGCTTCTTGGTACCTTGTGCTGGCTTCTCTGCTCTGCCTTATAGCTGTTGGAGTGCCCCAGCACTCAGTCTCGGATCCTCACCTCTTTTTCTCTAGGAATTCTTCCTTTAGTTGATTTCATCTAATACATGGTTTTAAATTCTAGTTATATGTTGATGCCTCTCAAAGTTATAACTCCAGCCCGGACCCCTTTCTTGACCTCCAAATTAGTATAGCCCATGACTCAACATGATGTCTTCATTTGGATAGATAATAGGTGTTTTAAAACTAGCATGTCCCAAACAACACTCTGATTCCCCAACCTGTTTTTCCTTCAAGGTTCCACACATAGCTTCAATATCTATCTGTCTGAGCTCCAAACTTAGGAATTATTCTCAGTTTTTCTTTTTCCCATCCCCCTCCATTGTGCTCATCTTTTACACATCTGACTTCACTTGAGGTATGTGCCCTGAGCTGTCTAAACCAATGATGATAGTTCCATATTCCTTGCTAGTTACTAGAACAGAATCCTAGGCCAAAGGCAGTATGCACGAGAGGGGTCAGTTTAGGAATGTCATGTGTCTTAATTCAGGTCAGTGGTACAATGAGGTTAAGATTTCTGGGGAAGATTTCTTTTTTTTTTTTTTGAGAATGTCACCAGTGAGGAAACATGTAGCACACATTTCCACTCTCCAGTCCTCTATGACCATACTCAAAAGAGGCAGCCTCGGGATGAAGCTGACCTTCTGGATGGCAGAATGAAGAGAAGGAAAGAACCTGTCTTATGACAGGTGAACTAGAGCAAACAAAACTGAGACCCATCCTATATCTGGATTTCACCAAACATGGCTGGTGAACTAGAGCAAACAACCCTGAGACCCATCCTACATCTGGATTTCCAGTTCTGTGAGATGATGCATTTCCTTATTGTTTAAGACAATGCACTGGGGTTTTTGCTTTTTACAATTGAAGGCAAATTAATAGATGCTAAGAGAAAAGCAGGTGCCTGTGGAAAGATTTGTAGCATTCCTGCTGGCTGGCCACTATCTTAGATTATTCCAGTTCTCATGAGGCCCAGTTATGCTGAGATTCTTATTCTTGCATTTCTCTAAGCTTCCTGGCTCTCCTTTAGGCCTCTGCAGCCATACCCGAGCTGGCCTGGGTGTTTCTTGCAACTAAAAGGATTTAAAGTGGGAGATAAAGCTCTCAGCCCATGAGTACTTGAAGCATATTGGGTTCTCAATCCTCTTGTGTTTGTTTTTCTTAGTTTTGTTCCTAAAGGATTTAAGGCAGCTCTGAGTAAATTCCAATATCGTCTCTCTACAAATGTCCAGTGGATCTCAAGAATCTTTGGAGAAACAAGTTATTTGGAGCAAACATGTGAAGAAAAGCAGAGACAGACTTCAGGGGATATGTCTTTCAGATCCAGAGCTTTCCCTGAACCTCCCCTCTCATCCCTGCTTGACTGGAGCTGGCATATTCACTAGCAGGGCCAGGCTGCTCTGGACCTTGGAGAGAAAGGTTCTGTTTAGATACAGCAAAACTTCTTTCATTTGGAGCCCTTGTGGAGAAGCACAGTATAAATGAGTGAAAAGCCTAAATTAGATAATTTTTAAAAGTACGGTAGCT